GGACTAAATTTGGAAGGGTACCCAAACCGGGACAGTACGAAATATGCTGAGATTTACGGCATTTCGTCTGCTCACACTTTGTTGCGGGGGACACTGAGATACAACGTAAGTAGCTGCGTTTCTGATCAGTTACATTGCCTGCGTGGATGGAAATTATGTGTAGATTCACTGAGAACTTTTTTGGTAATAGTTGAAGGAAACTAAGATGGTAAAACAAGGCTGAAACCTGTTTTCTCAGGCTTCCTTGGTTGAACATGTTAGAGACTTAAAAAGGACTTGCAAAATGGGGGATTTGTTGACTCATGGAAAGTAGGGGTCACGGCAACGAATGTACAAATGTGCTTTACACAATTGATGTATGTATGGATTGTGATAAGAGTTGTATGCACCCCAAATAAAATGATTTAAATAAAAGAGGGAAAAAAATAGGGGTCAGGTGGAAGCCCAGCTTCGGGTTTAGTAGGATTTGAGGGCAAGTGACCTCACCAGCTAATACAGGAGGAAATTTTATCAGAGTGGTGACATGATCAGATCTACATTTTAGAAAAAAATCCTCCGATTCCTACTTCTGGCCTTCTGATCTGTGGGATTGGGAGGACCCCTGGAAGAATTAGGATAGTGATTCTTAACAAATAAAATGTGATAATGTGATTTGTGGGGGCCATTCTCATAAACACCTTTTCCACTTTAAGAGAGAAGACAACTGATTCTACTATTAAATAATATTCTGCTCAATGGACAGTATATATAATACAGGAACAAATTTGCCTTTATGATGCTAGGAAATTACACTCCTGTGCATCCTAACAATAATCAGACAAGACCAAAGTTCCCTGGGCCTCTTACATAAGCCAGTGTGATTGTATGGCACTAACAATACAGTTTGAGCCCAAGGGTGGTTACATCCATACATGCGCTACAAATGATTTGATTTTCAGTACATTTTTTTAAATTAGTGATGGCGATAGAAACCTCTTTCCAAACAACACTCGATGTTTTACTTTCTTTGAAAAAGGAAACTTAAATGAACTGCTTATGACTCTTTATTTCAGGGATATGCCAAAGTTTTGAATGGATTTATCAAACTGGGCCTTCTAAACCGAGACCCCTTTCCTGCTCTTCGACCCGAGGCCAAACCTCTCAGCTGGGTGAGTGGTGTGCCTGCTGCCCTGCAGAAATGCCCTCTGGACCTTCAAAGCATAACTCTGCTGGGCATCAGCTAAGGAACCCATCTGATCGCCGATGTGCAGGGAGGGAAATACAAGTCCCAACAGCTCCGGATGGGGAACTTCCTCATCGTGGGAGGATGGATAGGCCAAGAGGCCAACCCCCAGGCCTGTTCACCGTGGCCCTCTGATTGCCCCTCAGCCCTGGGAATAGATGGGCTTTCTGTCTTCATTGAACTCTAGCCTCGGCCAGTGGTCAAAGTGGTGACTCAAAAGCAGTTAAACCTCCTGCAGGTGATGACCTTGCAGGGATGCTGTGGGACCATAGAGCTGCAACCTCAACCCCTTATTCTGTCTGTTCTCTCATCGCGCCATTTAGAACCTTCAGTAATCTGAATTTTTAGTTATTAAGTTCATGCCCCTATCTTGATTTAGTGTACCAAAATCTTAGAGTCTTGGGGTTGGAAGGGATTTTGGAAGCTTAGAACTAAGTCTAAGAACTTTAATAACTGACCAGGAATTAATTTATTCCTAGCTTCTTATCCAACATGCATCCAGATTTTGATAGGAATACTAGAAATGTATCATAAGGCATAAAGAACTGATATTGTTGATCCTCATTAAATCCCCCAGAGAAACATTGGTTGCTGATGAAGCCCGTTTTCTGTACATTTGAGAGCTTTACCCACCTCCGTTTCCTTGTTGGACAGGAGGGAATATTTCTAGAGTGAGGCTTATTTGGGGCGGGCCCGCTTAGAGGTGGCCCTTGTATCATAGTGGCCGCTCTCTAGAACAGGGCTCCGGAACACGTTTGTAAGGACTAGATGATACATATGCTGGACTTTATGAGCCAGACAGTGTGCCTGTTACACTCTTCAACTCTGCCACAGCAGCGTGAAACCGCTGTAGACAATACAGAAACAAAAGAGCACAACTGAGTTCCAGCAAAACCTGATTTCTGTCAACAGGCAACTGACTGGATGGATATGCCTGTGGACCTGGGTCTAAAACTGAATGCCTCCCATGGGTGCCAAGAAAAAGTCTTCTTTGGAAAGTAGAAAAAAAGCTCTGACCATTAAAAAAATGTTCTTACTTTGAGCATTTTATTATCTGCAAGACCATTCTCATCTCTTGAGCCTTCAAAGGGACTCTGGTTGCTGCTAGCAACCAGAACACTATGGCTCTTTCGCTTGGTCCACACCCCAAGTTGACTACTGGCAGGTGGAGGAGATTGGGTGCAAGAAGTGGTGGACAGGACACAGAAAAGGGGGCAGTGTCTTCGTGAATGTGGCAGCATCCTGTCTAGTGCCCAGCTGATGCTATGGCTCTGTTATTGCTGCGACACTGGGCACTTAGTAGTGTGCGTGCATGCACCTCTGTGAGAACGTGTTACCGTTGGCTGTTTCTGATTCATTATTTCCCATTTGAAATGCTATCTGAGGTTCAGCATTTTAATGGGAACACATCTCAATTTAAGTTTTATTTTATTAGGAACTTAGACATTTTATCTGTTTTTCCCCCCCAACCAGAAAGAACTCTTCTGTGACCTGGTGGGGATTTCGCCCTCCTCCAAGCATGATGAGCTTAAGGAAGCAGTCCATCAAAAACTAGGCGGAGACCAGATCCAGCTAGAGGCCATTGAAGGGTAGGAGCCGGTGTCGGGGAATTTAGAGTGAAATACAAGGAGCGATGGCTATTTGGTCCTTTTTTCACTAAGGGGAAGGGTCAAGGTAGAAACCCTTTAAATTTGCCTTGGATGAGCTGACTGCTCCAATATTGATCTGTTAGAGAGATGACTGTCCGCCACATTCACTTGGAGGTAAGAAGTAAAGAGGGAGATGGTATGGTCGTTATACTTTGGGGAATACTAGTTTTGAAGCACTACCACTTAATTGCAGTGAAAGACACTGTATTTTTAGTTCCCTGTAAGAGATGCAGAAGGAGCTCTGGTGGTTTTACCTGGAGCTGCTAACCGCAAGGACAAGTGGTTCAAACCCACCCGCCGCTCCACAGGGGAAAGGTGGGGCGATCAACTCTGTAAAGTGTTAAAGTCTTGGAAGCCCTAAAGGACCGTTGTGCTCAGTCCTGGAGGGTCACTATGAGTTGGAATTGACTTCATCACAGTGAGAACAGTGATGGGAGCTTTGAGAAATCCAGGTGGCTCCAGTTGTTAACCACTGGGCTGCTGACCCACACATCTGTGGTTAGAACCGATCGGCAGCTCTGCTGGAGAAGGATGAGGCAGCCTGCTGCCATAAAGACATGTAGCCATGAAAAACCCTATGAGGTGGTTTGCTTCCACCGTACAGGGCCATTCACTGAATGGTAGTGGGTTTGGGGTGTTGTTGTTACAGGAGAGTCAAGAGTCCCTGTGTGCCACACATGTTTAAGTGCTGAAGCAAAAGGTTGGTGGTTCAAACCCACGCAGAATGCCTTGGAAGTCAGGTCTGCACATCTGCTTTTGGAAGGCCACAGCCTTGTGAACCCGACGGGGTGCAGTTCCACTCTGCACACACAGGATCGCCATGAGTTGGAATCAACTAGACAGCCACTAACAAACAGCCCACGGGATTCTCCGAGGCTTCTCTTTGTGCTTCGATATCTTCTTTCTCATGGCATGGTGGAAACCTCTTAGCCAGACAAGGCCAGGGCTTGTTGTGTTGCTCTCACTCCTGTGAGACCATTAACCCACAAATTAACCTCAGAAGAAAGCCTTGCAACAACTCTTCCTTACAATGCTCCACTCTGCTCCAAGCATCGCAGCCGAGACCCGGGGTGATTCTAAAGAGTAAAGGATTATGATAATATTGTTAGATGTACGATTTCAGGAAGTTCTCCCTTTTGGATTATCATCTTGTGAATTCTGCCCCTTGAAGACAAACTTCTAAGGAACTCCTCCCTGCTTCCCAAGTGGGAATGGGCGAGACTGGAACTAACACAGTTGTCTTTTGTGCTTCTCAGGTTGGGCTTACTTGGGGATGAGCACGTCCCTCGGGCAGAATCCATTGTGGATGCACTTTCCAAGCATCTGGCTACGAAGCTCTCCTATGGTAGGTGACTGGCTAAGCATCCTTAAGAAGAATCGGAGAATGCAGGCAGTGCCGTCTGAGACTGAGTTGGGGCAGGCAGGGGATGGGGCAGCTGGAGCTAAGCAGGAGAATGGGAGAGGCATGATCACCGGGAATGACATTTGTGCAGTTGTTCCAGAGGAGAGACTAGGAGGACTAATCGGTAAGAATGAACTTGGGTGACGTGAGACAGACAAAACAAGAACATTGGTTTTATTTTTGACATGGAATGCTTTGGGGAATGCTGCAGACACTTTTTTAGGGTGAACAGTGTGTGACCCCTACAGCAGGGTCCTGCTGTTAGTAGCCTATCCATAACGGTACCACCAGGACAAAGAACATCACCTGAGTTGCAATCTCCCTCATAATTTCACCTGGTCTTTGGGGCTTTCTACTCCCTTAAACGGTGACAGCCTTGGGAACTCACAAAAGGACCTTAGCTAAAGCGGAGGGAAACTGGTGGGAACACAAGGAGCGGTGGAAATGAAATGTACACTGGGAGTTTTCAGGGTCGCGGCATTTTAAAAGGTCTTCTTTATTTAAGGCCCCGGAGAGAGAGATATGATCGTGATGAGAGACAGCTTTGGAATCCGGCATCCCTCGGGACATTTAGAAAACAAGACCATTGATCTTGTGGTTTATGGCGACGTCAATGGCTTTTCGGCCATGGCAAAAACCGTGGGGTTACCGACGGCCATGGCAGCCAAGATGTTGCTTGATGGTAAGTCCATCCGTTTGGGGGCTGAGTCTGTCTCCAGCTCACCACCCAGCCATCAGTGCTGGGGCGGCCGGTGATGACTCTTGAGAGACACACCAATGGCATTCAGGACCAGTGTGATGGGAAGTCACAGGGGCCGGCAGCCAGCATTGCCTCTGATTGGAACATGCCCTATAGCCCTTGTGGAAACAGGAGGGAACCAGGAGACGTCAAAGCATACACAAGGGAATGAAGGAAAAGGCACACCTTCCGGAGCATCCCTGCCAACCCGGGACTCAGTCAGCCACCTCTTGAGTTAGTGAGTCACGAAGGGAGGAGGGATGGGGTCCTGGTGGCCTGGAGGCACAGCACCCAGACTTAAGGTCTCAGCCGCCAGCACCATCAGGTGCCAGCCCCCAAATAATCAGATTGGTTTCATTCATCCCCTGGGTGGTGTGCCTTTTTGGAAGAAGCATACCAGAACAAACCCGCTCTCTGCTAGCCAGGTGGGACCGGCTCTACTTGCCTACTTTCTTTTCTGGTGGTGGTAGCTGCAGCTAATGCGGTTAATTGCACAAATTTTGCCACTCACTCCAGCTGTGCTTTTGATCTAAAGATTCATCCCCTTCGCATACAGAGTACTGATTAAGTCATCATTTCCCAGGGGTCATGGAAGCAGCTATTTTTAAATGCCCGGGCTTTCAGCAATTCCCTGGCTCTGAGTTTATTGCTGGAGTGGTGCCCTCTACATGGTAACTCTTGCTATGGAAATGAACTTTTCACACTACCTTTAAAGTGGTAATTGCAACTTAATTTTCTTCCAGGTGAAATTCAAGCCAAAGGCCTGATAGGGCCCTTTTCTAAGGCGATCTATGAACCCATCCTCCAGCGTATCCGAGCCGAAGGTGTCGTCTACACCGCGCAGAGCACTGTCCAACCGTGACTGGGAGTCACCTTTGATTTATCGACAGGCAGTCCGGCGCCGAACATTCCTGGGACAGATATGCTCGCTAAGATGTGGTTTTAAAGTGCAAAGGCACAATATATGTTGATTAAACCGATGTGGTGATATTTTTTAAGATAGTTTTATTTTAATATGAAAACGTTTGGAAAAGGGGATGTCCGTAATTACCAGAGCACTTTATTAATTCTACCGTGTATTTTTTCACGTTTATAAAAGTGATCATGATGATGCTATTTGTTAATTTATTGTGCCACCCTTTTATTATAAGAATTTTTTAGAAAAGAAAGCACAAACCAAACCAAATCCACTGCCATGGAGTCGACTTCAACTCATAGTGACCCAATGGGGTTCCCAAGGGTAGACCAGGTAAACCTTTACAGTGACAGACAGTCTCGTACGTCTCCCTCGGAGTGGCTGGTGGATTTGAACCAATGGGTTTACGATTAGCAATACAACGCTCACCTGAGCACGCCGCCGGGTATAGTCAGCCATGAAGTTTACCTGTTTAGGCAGAAGAATGTCCTCACACAGCTGTATTTTTGTAGTTTTCAAGTGAATTCTCTTAGATACCTTTAGCTTACCTATCTACAAGCCCTTGCAGTGATGCCTTACAAAGTTGGAAAGCTATGATTTAGTTAGTAAATATCACTTCTTGTTCGGAAAAGGGAATAGGTTTAGATTAAACCGCACAGCACCCGATGCAGAATAAGCACCTGGCAACACCAGACCCCCGTCATGCTAAACGGAGCCCTGGGAGGGCTTGGGTTCTCACTGAAAGGCTGAAGGTTTCTGTCTAGGCAGAGGCATCTCAGAAGGAAATCCTGGCAGTCGACTTCTGAGCGATCGATCACAGTCAGCAACCACCCTTGGGCCTGTCATACTCCACAGAACACTGGGGCATCCTGAGTCAGACTAGACTAGGTGACAACCGCTTTGATAGAAGCACCAAAGAAACCAGGGCTAGAAGGAGTTTTCCTCATAAGAAGTATCCGTGAAACATTAAGAAATTGGCAAAGGATGATCTGAATAGCCGTATCTCTCAAATGGATTCACAAGTAATCAATGAGCACCTTAAATTAAAAAAAAGCCCTCAACATTATTAACTATCAGGGAGATGCAACCTGAACCCATGGTGAGTACCACTTCATACCAACCCAGATGACCACATAAAAAGACAGGTTGGCATGGAGGTGGAGAAATAGGAGTTTACTGTGAGTGGGAATGTAAAGAGACCTTTTGGCAAACACTGTCTAGGAGGCTCTCAAAAGGTCCAACCTAGCCGTATCATATAACCTAGCAATTCTGCTCCCGAGAATTTTGAAAGCATTGGCCCACACAACTTGTGCACAAATATTCGGCGCAGCAGATTCACAATAGTCCCGATCAGAAACCACTCCAATGGCCATCCCCCAACAAGTGAATAAACAAAACATGGTATAGCCATACCATGGAACGCTATTTGACAATAAAAAGAAATGTGATGAATGCTATGACAGGGTTGAACCTTCTAACATGCTAGTTCAGAGAAGCGAGTCAAAAAAGACCCCGTGTTGTATGATTTCAATCATGTGAAATGTCCAGAGAAGGTAAATCTGGAGCGGTAGAGATAAGTGGTGGGTTTGAACTGGATTTGATGCCTGGAGGGCTGAATGAAAACAGGGAGGGACCCCGAGGGGGGGATGGAGTTTTGTGTGTGGTGATGAAAATGTTTTAAGTTGATGATGGTAACAGAGGTACAGCTCTGGGCATATATGAGACACTATTGGATTGTATGCTTTAAATGTATCAATTGTATACTATGAATTCTATCTCAAGTTGTTATATAAAAATGATGACAACTAATCTGTTGTTGTTACTTCTTGTGGGCTGGGGCAGAGTCTTGGTGGCATCGTGGGTTATATGTGGAGCTGCTAACTGAAAGGTTGGTGCTTTGAACCCACTGGCTGCTCTCATCAAGAAAGACGAGGTCGCCTGCTTCCAGATGGATTTACAGGCTCAGAAACCCCCATGAAGCAGTTCTTCTCTGTCCTGTAAAGTTGGAATTGACTCAATGGAAGTCGGTGCGGGGAAAGCCTCTCCACTGTTTAGACAGACATGAATGAGATCCTCCTTCAAGTCTTCACAGTCTGCTCCTTTCCTGGCATAGAAACACATGTGGCCCTTGACACAAGCAGACACTATATGTGAGCTTTGGGCCACTGGGGAAAATCTCTGCTATTAGAAAAGGATCAAACTCTATTAAAGCCTGGACCCACCTGTCACAAATAATCTCTGGAAATCAATAAGTCACTAATAAGCAGGGACATTTACGGCACTTCTTTAAACCATGACACAGACTTCAACAACCAGGAAATACAATTGTGACACACTGACTCCACTCCACCCCCCTCCTTTCTGGCACTGCACCTAGCTTGATGCAGAGCCAGCACTCGGGATGTCTGTAGGGGAAGCCTGTTGGCTTTTCATAGAATTAATATAACTGGTTTGAGTTTTCTGATAATGATGAATGGGGAAGGGATGCCATTGTTGGAAGAGCTAATCTAATGTCGGTGTTGGTGGTCCTGATAGAACAGGAAATATCAATCTGCTGAGGAAGGATAGAGGCACTGACACCCCACAATAAATATCGGGCTGAGAGGCTCTGTAGAGTGGGTGGGTTATGGCTATAAGCGTATGTATGTCTCTACCTAAAGAGCTAGCATGCTTTTCCTGTGATGGACCAGAGGGTAAATGCTGTAGACTGGGGGCCAACGGGTCTCCTGCAAAGCTCTTCCTTTCTGTCCTTGAGTGGGAAAGCAGCCCTCACACAATTAATACGTGAACCAATGGACATGACTGTGTTCAAATAAAACTTTATTTTACAAAAGTAAAAGGTGGGCAGGTTTGACCCTCAAGTCACAGTTTGTGGATCTCTTGACATCATACTTACATCTGTTAGATCTCTTTCTACTTCTTCAGCCTATTCCTAATGTTTGCCTTTTCTAGTTTTCTTTGTCCTAGATGCTTAAAAAACAAAAAAACAAAAAACCCTAACAGCCCCCAAGCCCCCAAATTTGTATTGTAAATTTGTTGAGGACTTACTGAGCAGATCATAGTTTTACATTGAACAACTCATTCTTCGTCCCTGGATAAGTGCTGCCCTTCTGATCTTGCATAGCTATTTGTACTGACATGGAGGTGACATTAATTCCAGATCTAAAGGGTAAGGGCCATTCTCTTGGTCCCACCAGTCTCCATCAGACCAGTAAGTGTGGTGTCTTTTGATCTGGGGTTCTGTTGCACATTTTCCTCCCACTTTATCCAAGACCTTTGAATGTGATCCTTTTCCGAGTAGTCAGTAGTAGAAGATGGGCACCATCTAGTTCTTCCAGTACCAGGCTGGTGGAGAGTCATGTTCCATTCTCCATTAAGCATACGAACTGTTTCCATGTCCACCCCCCCACCCCCCAACATTCTACTTTCCTTTGGACAGGGAGAAACCAATACTTGTACCTCTGGTGGTTGCTGACAGCTTTTAAGACCCAGTTGCTACTCACTAAAACAGGATTGTAAAGTAGAACACTCTTTTGTCTAAGTAAAATTATGCTACCTGATCTTGATGTCCCCCAAGACTAATCTCCCAGGCCCTTGGTTGAGACAACTGAGACATTTAAAAGCTTCTCTTCTCAGAGGCAGTAAGACTAGTACTACAACGTATTGTTTCCTTCTACATAAAATGAGGAAAACTACCGCATGATATGGCTATCCAATTGAATGAGGAATAGCTGACAATTGTTTTTAGATGTGGATGAATTGGCCCTAAGTCACAGCGACCCCATGTACAACAGAGCAAAACATTGCCTGGTCCCGTTTCGTCTTCACAATGGTTATGTTTGAGCCTATTTTTTCAGCCACTGTGCCAATCCATGTTGGTGAGTGTCTTCCTCTGATTCACAGGCCCTCAGCTAGCATGATATCCTTCTCCAAGGACTGGTCCCTTCTGAGAATGTGTTCGAAGTACAAGTCTTGCCATCCTCCCTCCGAAGGAGCATTCCGACTGTACTTTCTTGAAGACAGATGGAGTTTCTCTTTTGGCAGTCCACGACACTTTCAATATTCCTTGCTAATACCAGGTCTTCCTTTTTTTATATAACATTTTTTG